GTGCTCAGCGGTTTCAATGTGCCTTTTATCATTCATCAACTCGATCTACAGTTTATGTGACCAATATGTTAATGGATCGATATATATTCTAATTTCGCTGTGTTCTTATTTTCATTTATCAAAGTATATATACTAATCAAAGTATTTTCAAAAAAGTTACTTCTTTACTATACTAATGAGATAAAAGACGCTGCGCTTTTATCGTTATAATCTTGATCAATGAATAATTAATAAGAAATTTTTTGTTCTCTGTTTTCGCGATCGTCGTTATAATCTATTAATAATTTATTAATCATACGAACACACTGTTGATACTATTGAGAAACGCGTATGAAGACGCTTGAATGCAAAAACCGTTATATCAGCAGGTGCGGATCCCATGCGGTACCAAATGCAAATTGCTCACAGGTGCGAGATAGAAAACGTATCGCGACATTCCATGCGGCAAGTGTTACTTTTAACATTTCTCTTTTCATATTTCTTTAATGAATTTTCACGCAGGATTTTATAAGAAAAACTCGTACGTCGAGCGGTAAACGTTCTTCGAGGAAGGGGATACACATATTTCGAAAACAATAATTTTTCGCGCAATAATTTCCCGTCGGCCAGCAGAATTGCAGGATGAGTTGCTCATCTTTCCGCCCGTTTTTCGCAATTGCATAAAAAAAAAAAGAGGTCGAGTGCATATCGCGCGGGCCCTCTCTCGGCAGATCGCAGATTAGATTTGGCCTCGAAGCATGTGTGCAGTGTGTGTTGCAAACAAATCGAATCCCCGCTCTGCCGGTTGAGATGCAGTTCTCGTTTCGCATTACACGTACCTATATGTACCTATACGTTGCAACCGGTGAACTTATCCACGAAAAATACGTGCGATCGGAGATAAGCGTGCGCGCGGGGGCTATAATTATAAAGCGCGGAGACTGAACGCGGATAATAGATTAATTGGACGGATTAGATTAGGAAAATTTCACGAGGGAGAGAAAGAGACGTGAAGACAACAATATCCTGCTCAACGTCGCGCGTCCCGTTCATCCACGGGAACCTACTTCGATTTAATCGTCGCGAGCGATCTTCTCTTTTGTGTTAACCGCCCGCCCGCGCGCGCGCATTAACCGTTGATCGCCGGGCAATTTTGGAGAGCGCGAATCCGCGTTGGAATCCCATTCCGAACAACGCGTAACGGTACGGAACCGTCGCTCGGGCGAAATTGCATCGTGATGCTTCTTTCCCCTTCCCTCCTCTTCCCCCCTCGCGAGAGGATCGCAATCCCACGAGGTGTTATCCCACAATTTGCGGAGAGAGAGGGGGGGGGGAGTATTTTTTATCCAACCAGATCTCGGCAACTGCAGGCAATCGTCGATAACGCGCAATTTTGCGCCAAAGTTGTTGTATATACGTGCACTACTATTTTTCTTTTTCTTTTTTTTTTTTACGCGCAGATTTCCTCCAGAAGGACTTAACGTGCGCGGTGCAGAAATACGCGGCACGGCAGTTGCCCCTTGACGACCGCAGCACAAGTTCGCCGAGAAAACAGTTCCTCCCCTGTCTTATCCCTCTTCTGCACGATTCTCCAAAGCCGGTCTGTCGTTGACTTTTTCGTTTCGCGCTTAGACGCGCTTAGACACGAGCCGGACTTCTTGCATTCCCTCGCAACGTTCGCCTTCTCCGCGACGTTACTCTCCTTCTTTGTCTCTCTCTATCTCTCTCTCTCTCTCTCTCTCCACATTTCGCTCCTCGGCAGTTTTTTTTCGATCGACGCAACGGAACAGGCCGCGTTTCCGTGCCAAACACCCATTTCCAAGAGAAATGATTTTAAAAGTGACTTTACTTCCTACAGCGATTTCAGTTGGTTGTTGACTTCTTCGGGGACGTGCTGTCTCTAGTTTTGCCCTCATCGTCGTTCTCCTCGGTAGTTTTCTTATCAGTACTTTTGTCTCGCTCTCTTGCAGCATAGTAATGCCTCGTGAAGGAAATTTATATCGTTATTGCAAAACAAAAACACTCGATAGAAAGAAAAATTTATTTAATTTTCTCACAAATAAAAAATTACACAACTGCTAAGACACCTAATAATACTTAAAACAAAAAATAGAATATTGCTCGAAAACGTCAAAATATTTCACAAATGCATTAAAAATACTGCTATTCGTAATATAATTCGTAAAAGGATTAAAACTGATATCTTTTCAGCATTTTCCTTTTCCTTTTGCTATAAAATTTACATTTTCCTGAAAATATATGTAAGTATATTAATAAATCACCTCTTCGTTCGCGATAAGCAAACACACACCAACCTGTGTACGTATACTTGCATAAATACCAGCCTCTTTCCTCGCGTGCGCCGTTTGATCTCTTTCTCTCTTTCTCTCTCTCGCGGGACTCAGCATCGCAAGCGCGGGACGTGCGCGCGACGTTATCTCTCCGATTTCTCTAAGGGGGAAACGAATTTAAATTGCCGATCGCAAGCGATTCCTACCGTCGTTCACTTTCCCTGAAACGAGCTTGTCTTCTGTCTCTCTTCGTCTCTCTTCCTCTCGCTTCCTCCCATTTTTTTCCTCCCGCCGCGGCTTCTTCCACGTCGTGATTCTTTGTGCTTATACTTACACATCGAGGCTCGCGCATCGCGAAACGTCCTCTTCGTTCTTCCTTCTTCGGAGAACGCAATGCGGCTGACGAGCGGCGATTTGCGGAAGGGACTCCGCGATTTGCGCAGCTTCTGGACGTGAAGAGGCCGACGTGGGGAAGCGAAGATCGTGCGTATCTCTCGGCTGTAACTGTGCCGTTAAAGGGAAATTGAAACGACAGATCCGTCGATCGACTCCTCGTTTCGAACGCGAAACGAGATTCCTATTGCGGATAAAATCACTGACGAGAGTGATACGTCGGGTCGAAAGGCTGCGCAATCTGCATTTTTTGCTCCTTGCGCTTTTTTCCCATACGTTTCCGCGCCACAGCAACGAGATTAATGCGTGACGTGAGAATTCGCTTTCGCCGGCGCGATAAGCCACGATAAGGCGCACCTTGAACCACGGGAAGCGAAATTTATCTTCAGCGACTGCCGAGGTATGAAAAATCGCGATAGATTGTCTTCTGATTGATTGTCTTCCAGCTGATTATCTACGAATCTGGAATATTTTCGATACATTAAAGACTCTCAGACGTCTTAGAAACTTAGAGGCGCAGCTTCTAAATATTATTTATAAATTTTTTGTTCTAAAAATATTTTCTTCTCAATTAGAAATATTATTGTATCGACGAATTTAGATGTAGAATATTATTTTGAATCTACATAGAATATTTTTGATACATTAAAGACTCAGAAGTCTCAAAAACTTGAAAGCGATAGCTTCTAAATATTATTAATAAACTTATTATTCTACAAACATTTTCTTCCCGATTAGAAATATATTACTACCAACAGTACCAACGAATCTAGATGCAGAATATTATTTGACCCGCGAGAGTATATTTTAACGTCGTTCCATAACATAGAGATTCGCCTCGCTAAGAGATAAATTATCTTGACATGAAGATATATATTTGTGGAACTGGACGCGCGCACACGCATATTGTCAAGTTTCCAGTGATATGCATCGGAATTTCGTTTCCTCGGGCGTAAATACCGATGTCGTATGCATGCCGTGGCTGCGGCATATCTTCGGTAAACAGCTCGAAGAAGGGTAGGAATGACGGGGGGGGGGGGGGAGCCCGGGACAATGACAGAGGCAACAATGGCCCCTCTCTGTTTTGTGTTCCGGATGAATATAACTCTGGCTCTATTCAGGGGAGAGAGAATGTCGCGTGTTCTCCGTATCCAGGAAGTTATTACAGGCGCGCGGTATCGACGGACCGAACCGGGAGAGTCAGCAGAATGATGCATCCGTAATTACCGATAGTCACTTGTTGTATAGGACTGCCCGCAAATTACACGACATACACGTAGCGAATACATTCGGGCGTTTTTCTTACGGCGGGGAGTTATTGCGGGACTTCCAATTTCATCCGGCAGCCATGGAAACAAGCGTAATCACGTCGATAAAAAAAATATGTTAGATGCTTCGTGACCAGGGACGGAGACTTTTGAATTTTCTGGGTGCGGAGTGCCTTATCTAAGCGAAGGGAGGGAGGGGGGAGAGGATAATAACACAAATATTTTATCTCTTCTGTTGTATGTCGGAATATATTTCTACTTCTATATTTAATTTCTTTTTATATTTTTTCTATTAATTTGATCTCGATGTCACGCAAGAATTAGCTCATTTAAATAATTATTGAAAAACATTTTTTTAAATACTCCGAATTCATGGAATTCCACGGGATCTCTGGGTGGAAAGCTCCATACCCTCCATAAGGAAATCTCCGTCCCTGTTCGTGACAACGAATGCATGGTTAAAGTAATTTATATGTCTCGATAGCGATTTAGTATATATACTTATTATGTTAGCAAAAATGAGTATAGAGATTATGCTTCCGTTTATAAAGAGTTACGGGAGATTGACTATTATATATCAAAAATACGCGTACCTATCAGGCCGGAAAATTATGCTGTGGTATCCCGATATAGTGTAGAAATTTTCACGTTGCGACAAAAACGATCATATGCAAATGTAATGTTCATATAAATTCGCCAATTTGTTTTATTTCTCGACTTAGAACTGTGATTATGGCTATAATTGCGACTATCATAGGCATCATACCTCTCTCTCTCTCTCTCTTTATTTATTATAGAAGCGGAAGTAATAACTGAAGAAGAAAAAGGGAAAATAGGAAAGGAGGTAATCAGTTCGCGCACGATATTAGATAACTGTATTATAATTATGTTAAAATCGATGTTCCTGGGATATTAGGAGAGGGGAGGGGAGGAGAAAGAGAGAGAGAGAAAAGAGAGAACATATTCTTAACACGATAAATAATATAAACATGATTGATGTTCCCTCATCGACCTGACCCTTCATTTATCATCTTCACTCAATTGCCTTTCCCCTCTTGACTGATCGCAGAGCTACGATACACTGAGCAAGGGCAAGAAGTCGTGGAGCGTGCGGCTGGGTCTGTCGCGGCAGCATCAGAGCCACGGGGATGACCCCGGCAAGGGTGGCTGGGGCACCATAAGCGGCGGCAGCGTGCTCTCCCGCCAGATGATCTACAGCAGCGATCTACCGTGGCTGTACGGCACGGTCAGATCGTCGTCGCGGCTCGTCGGGCACGACTCGCCGCGACCCTTCCTGACACCGCCGCCGCCGCCGGGCGCGGCGCCGTTGCTCGTGGTATGTTCCTGCCCGGAGTTCCTCGCCGGCACCGTAAGGAAGCTCGGCAGCTGCCGCAAGTGCGGCGGCCACCGGGTGGCTGGTCTGCCCCTCGGCGGAACCTGCCGGCTACCGCCGTCCTCGAGGTCCCGGCCGAGCCTCGCCGGTAAGTAATTGCATCACTCGTATACGCTTATTCTACCCGCGATTATTTCACGTCCTCCTCCGCGATACCAACGGACACGACGCTCGCGATACGGTTCTCCGTTCTCGGTCGATTTAATTAAATATTCTTGGCTATTTCGCGGAGATTACTTTTTTTATCTTTGATACATATATATTTACGAACGATATCTTCAATATTCTTCACGATACGTGCAAGAATGGCTTTCTCGCGTTGTCGTATAATGCCAGGATGCGTTATAGAGAAAGAGGCTATGAAGTGGAACCGCACCTGCTACGTACTCGTGAAGTATGGGGGTGTTGGCTCCGAGGCTCGAAAGATAAGCGAGGGCGGGATGTAAGAGCTCCTGCCTGTCGTGCCGCCGATGATGTTCATGCTCTAATTGTACGCGCTCTTCGTATTAGAGATTTTCTCCTTGCTCGCGTTCGAGATAGCGTGCGTGCGGCGAAGCGCAGAAAGTTCTCGGGCCGCAGGCAAGATAACTGAATTTTATTCAGCGACGAGATGCCCTCGTATACACCCGCTTTAGTTTGCATTTAAATCGTTTTAGACTAGATTATATCTTTTTGTTTACCGCGCGGGTGAGAGATGCCTTCGAGACGTGTGCTACAAACGGTACCTGGACGAATCGTTAGAAATGTGGGACAGCGACCTTTCGATTAAGGCAATTGATACTTTACACGCGAATGGTTTTCGCGATAGCAATTGTTTCTGCTATTATGTGAAATGTAAACGATCCATTATCTGGACCCGCATTACATTTTTCATTGGTATTCGACTGACGGAGATAATCAAATGCAATAGTTAAAATTTTATATACAAAAACGTGCAAAAAAAACAGTAGTTAAAAAATTATATTTTTTATTTTTGCATATATTTATATTTCTTTCTTCTGAAATGTGCTGTTTTCGTATTATGACAAATGAAATATATACAACACGTATTGAAAATATTCAGCTCAGCAACAAGCCCATATCATATATATACTATGTAGTGCGCTAAATTATAAATTTAAAAGAATTAAAGACGCTCAAATTAAAGAAGAGGCGTGTGCATCTTGAGAGTATATAATTTCTCTGATATCCATATTAGAAACCGAAATCAGCGTCGTCGGAAATTTCATTATTTGCGTTCGATCTGGAGATCTAGGTCGGCGTAACAAGTCGAGTCGAAACGGTTTCGCGAGACGATTTCCCATACAACGGTTATACCTATTTGTTAGGTGTGCTGAGGACCGCTATCGACGATCCGTATGACCAGATGCGACGGAACCGGCTGGTGGAGCCGAGATCGCGGGCGCGCAGCATCTCGCCGCACCGGCCGTCCTCGCAGCGAGATTCCAGGAGCCAGAGCATGGTATCGCGGACCGTCGTGAAGGAGCGGAAGGGCACGGCCGAGGGTACGTCGTCATTGTCATCATCCAGAACCGAGTGGTACGATAAGGAGCCGAGCGCAGTTGTGAGCTACGACGATCGCAAATCGCGACCCGGTTTCACCAACGGCAGCGGCGGCAGCGGCGGC